ATATTACTATAATAAGACCTAGAACATCTCTAACAACTTCTTATAACATATTAGCAGTAGCTATACTCTACTTATATGTAATTTTAGCTACTAAAAGATATTAAAATACTTAACTCTATTAAAGTATTGCTTAACTCTATTAAAATATTACTTAACTTTATTAAAATATTACTTAACTCTATTAAAATATTGCTTAACTCTATTAAAATATTGCTTAACTCTGCTATAATATTGCTTAACTCTACTATAATATTGCTTAACTCTGCTATAATATTGCTTAACTCTACTATAATATTACTTAACTCTGCTATAATATCGCTTAACTCTGCTATAATATTACTTAACTCTGCTATAATATCGCTTAACTCTTAGGTGTGTATAGGCTAGCTTAGCACTATTATTAACCTAATATTAGAAATTCTAATATATATAGTGCACTTAGTGCACTAGTATAGCTCTTAGTCTATATATTACTACCTGCATCTTACGTAATAATCTTACTTTACTATTCTTAAGATATTACTTACTATATTACTATAAGCCTTATCTCTTTCTTTATCTAATACTATGCTATTAATAGCTTCTTCTCTCTCTCTCTAGCGTTCTACTTTTCTTCTATAATATTCTCTCTCTATAATTTATTATAGTCTACTATAGTACTACTGCTAAGATCTATAGTATATTTATATATATAGTGAGTGCCTATAACTATATAAGCTATATCTATTATCTAGATAGCGCTGCTACGTTATCTCTTGCTAGTCTATAATCTAGTAAGAGTATTCTTAATATAGATATAGATAGCAGCTACTTTATTATAGAAGTAAAGTAGAAAGTTAGTAATAGATACTACGTTGCTATTAATACTATCTAAGGCTTTCTCTCTACTAATATTCTATAGATACTTTAATAGTATAGGCTTATAGTTAGCTCTAATAGTGCTCTAGCTATATAAGTCTATTATATGCGCGTAAATATTAGTAACTTAAACTTAGCTACTAAGATAAGAGTACTTCTTAGCATATCTTAGATATTTAACTATATTATTACTCTTTATCTCTTTACTACTATACTACTCTATTAATGCTGCTAAGCGCTTATTACTCTCTACTAACTTCTCTCTTCTTTTAGCTATCTTATTCTAAATATATTAGCTTACTTTACTACTATACTACTCTCTGCTGCTAACGCAGCTTACCTAGTATAGTTTTAGACTATAGAGTATATAGAGGCTCTAGATATATCTATCTTAACTAAGTTTAGAGCTAATAGTCTCTGCATCTAGATCTCTTAAAGTAGTCTTAGTTAGCTGCGTAAAGTTATTACTCTTATAATCTAGATTATGCCTAATTAGTTATAGATAGTTATAGTAATGCAAGTAAGAGAAACTATAGTAAATGCTAGTTTTTATATTAATGCTATATATAATATTAGTAAGAGTAATAACTTTAGCCTATCTGCTAGTTAATGCTTCTTAGCGCAAGCTGCTCTTAATGCTATAACTCTCTAGTAGCTTATCTAAATAGCCTAAACTCGCTCTATACCTAACGCATATAACTATATTAGCTATACTAGCAATACTTTTATGCGCTGCACTAAGCTTATCTAAGCTTAATTAGGTCTATATGCTTATAATTATATCTTTATTTAGAGCTACTAGAGTTTTATTATTAAGAATAAGGAGCGCATTACTAAGAATAGTACTAGCCTTTCTGCTAGCAGTATAGTAGTAGCTAAAACTCTAGAGTAGATGCAGATTAGCATCTTACTCTTATTAAGCAAAGTCTAAGTAGAGCTAGAGAGATAGAAGAGTAGAGTAAAATAGATAAAGATACTCTATATTAAAGTAGACTCTATAGTTATAGCTAAGATAGAGAAGATTACTAACGCTACTTAAACTATCTACGCTATAGTAATCTCTATACCTTTATATAAATATTAGCTTCTATATATATACTTCTATATATACTCTATAATATAGTATTATATAATATTACTTCTACGCTAGCGCTAACCTATATATAAACATTCTCTAGATAACTTGCATAAGTCTTATATAGCTACTAGAACCTTATAAAACTCTAGTCTTTGCGTGCATAGCCTGCTCTAATAAATACTATAACTATAATATATTTTATTATATATCTTACAATACGTTAGTTAGATTATTATAGAACTTAATGCATTTAATGTATTAATTTTCTACATCTTATACTTAAGTTGCAGTTAATTTAAATATTATTTAGAGATTAGTTCTATTAGTTTTCTTAAACCTAGGAACTAATATCTAAAGATTTAGAGTTTCTTAGAGAACTAATATAGAAATCTATATTAGTTCTGTTACCTATTAAGGATAGAATTTCTAGTATAATATAGTTATCTATATGCGTTGCTTATCTAATAAGCATTCTGCTCTTAACTTACTTTTCTGCTTATGCTTCTGCTTATAATGCTCTTAGATCTAGTTAATGCTATAATTAATATACCTATAATATTAGCAATAATACCTATCTTAATATATAAGTAAATATAGTAATAGCGCGCAGTCTACTATAAGATATACTACTTCTATTTAGGTAATAGCTTAATCCTATAATAACCTCTTCTATTAGACTGCCTTAATAATATTCTACTATATCTATTATATATACTCTTAGTGCTTTCTATTTAAATAGGTCTTTAGCTAGAACTTTATAATACTCTGCTAATAGCTCTTATAAATAGCAATATAGTATTTTAGTAAATACTTAAATATAATATAAAACTGCTCTATTATATAATAAATACTATAAATATCTATATATGCAAATAAGGCCTTTACCTCTACTTATTATCTCTTATTTACTTATAGATATTACTCTAGAAATTTTCTTTATAATAATTTACATTATTATTAATTTTAATATAGACTGTATACCTTGCTCTACCTGTTAGACTGCTCTCTAATAGTATTAATAGTATTTAAAACTCTAACCTTGCAGCGTGCATAGCTAACCTTAATAAATACTATAACTTAGCTATATTTTGTTATATAACTTAACGCGCTATAGTTAGATTTTTATAAAAATAAGCATAATTAACGCAGCAGACATTTCTACACTAGACTATAAAGTTATAGCGTAATTAGACCTATCTTATACTTTAGTTAGTAAAGTTCTCTCTACGCATCTAATTAAACGTTATATTTTTAGAGTTTCTTAGCTAATTAAACCTCTAAACATTTTAATCGTGTTGCCTATTAATAATAGAATTCTTTGACTTTCGTATTCGCACTAGCGACTACTATAATAGCGAATATCTTTCTTAGGGAGCAGTTAACCATTTAGGTCGATCTTGTATAATGTCTCTAGAGCGGTTGATTCAAGCTGGACTTTTCTAATTGTATCCAGAGTTCGACGATGCGGAAGGTCGCAAGAGATGGGCTAAAAGGGTACGAGAACTACGTCTCCTTTGGTCTACTGAGCAAGATACCACAGAACAAGAGATTCAGATTGCACTGAAAGTTGCGCGGGACTGTTTCGCTCAACTTGAACCAGTCAATTTAGCTTCCATGCTCTTGAGTTTTAAGCAACGCAAATACTCCGAGCTAGATAGTCCAGGTGAGTGCTTTGTTTTGCGAATGGCCATTTTAGTGTTTGTGGCTAGCATCTCTGATTCTTCCAGTTCACGCCAATCCATGGCGACCCGAATGGACAAACAAGCCGGAGGAAGTCTATCGATACTGGATTAATAGCGAAGCGGTCAAGTCTTGCAGCAAATTTCCCGACACACAGCTTCACATTCTACGAAGGATTTTTAGTTAAAATTCATGGCTATACTGCTTTGGTGCTCCTTTGTTTGGCTATATCGCAACACTATTAGTAGATGATGCAAGAATACGAGACCAGCATCATCTTGCGACTCGCAGTTGTTATCCTATCCTTCTGTGCGAGCCCTTTTCTGGGCATTTCCTATGCTTTGATCCTCTGCAAGTGGACGCTTGCGCGCACCAAGATACACTCGAAACCCCAAAAAGCTATGCCATGCCCGACTGAAGGATCGATACTCCATGCTCCGCATCTTGACATGCTCGGGAGCCTCCTGTAGTCCCCGGGCATACACCGTGCCTGCTATCCAGCTTCCGTGAGATGCCTGCTCGTCAGCTAACTTTTTATCGACTCCGTAGTCTCGTTTAAAGCCCCCACATGGGAGATGCTGACGTGATATTGCGATGGCGAGATGCCGATAAGATAATATGTTGAGCCTAGTATTCAAGCGAAACGCTGCTTCTCTTGTAATCACTTTGCTGAGACGGTTGGCCTCCCAGCTCCCGCTTCCTTTCGGCCACAGGAATGTTGATGGTGGGTCCTTGCGCTAACACTGCTCTTGGTCTAGCGCCAACATTGCATAGCCGCCCGCCATTCAGTGGATCTGCGCCAATCCCACTCTTAATTTAGAGCCAAGATCTCGCCCGGATGGAACCTGAGTGCATTGCACTGAGTACTTAAGGCTTCCCAGCCCGTTCGTTCAGTACACGACACCTCGCGCCAGTCTTCGTTTTTTACCCAACGAATACCTACCACCATGACATCGCTGAAATCGTTGCCCGATGAGCTTCTTCTTATTATCCTTACTGAAGCGGCCTATGTGCGCACGGTTCAACGCGCTCTGCGGTTGAGACTCGTCTGCAGTTAGTTGTCCATGTTCCAGATCAAGCAGTAGGTGTAATATTAACCTACAACACCAGAACGCTTCGCTAACCTTGCTATCACTGCTATCTTTAACTCCGGTATACTTAATTGCAAAAAAATTTCCGACCATATTGACAGAGCACCGGAGTTTTGGGCAGAGTATTTTGCATATCTTACGATGAAGTATGCTACTCAAAAAAGTTGGGATTTCAAAATGGTGTTCCTCGTTGCGCAGCATATTTGTCGCCATCGTTATGCTTATACAGATGGGACCTGTGTTATGACCGGAGCTGTTATGGACCACGAACTTAAAGAATGTGTATTTGAAGTTTACAAGATGGTAATCGAACGACGACCAGCTATGACTATATATTGGCCTGCTGTTGCGTCTTTAGATGTGAATGAAGCAGAGGTTGATGAATCAGCTATCGATTTCAGACGCCATCTTCTCAGCGCCGCAGCTTGGTTAGGTGAAGAAAGTCTGGTCATCAAACTCCTTGCAGAAGGCTGCAATTGGTTCAGTAAATTGTAAGCACGCTCTAGCAGATGTCGTCCACGTTTTACTGACATTACCTTCGGTAGATCTCTGTTCCTGGACCCCATACGAGCTGCGTCCTATCGAGGCCACGTTGACATCGTCAAACTTTTGCTGGTAGATGATTCTGCTGATGCCACACATTTTTGCAGTCGCCCTATCTTAGTCGTTAACTACTATAACGATCATACCGAACTACTCGATCTCATTTTGGGTCCTTCGTGGAACAAATGCGAAATAGAGCCATGTAATATAGAAAGATTACTGCACCTCGCATTGAGTTATACTCGCACTCCAGCAACACTCAAACGGCTCTTAAAGAATGCGAAACCACATATCCTCGACAATCATCGACACTGGTTCTCAAATCGAACTTACAATGCTGTAAAAGAAGGCCAAGCAGGTATCGTGAAGCACATGATTGAGGAAGAGGGGGTGAAAGTCAGCGAGGATGAGCTCATTGACATATCCATCTTCCGGTCTCGCCACCCGGTAGAATTTCTGAAAGGAGCTTGGAAACTTCGGGACAGGGCCATTGCTCTGCTCAGTTTAGCCGCCAGACACGGGCATACAGATATCGTCAAGTTCCTGCTTAATGCTGGTGCAAAACCTGACAATGCAATCGAGTTCGCAGCTATGTGTGGGTCTAGGACGATCATGAGGTTGTTGTGGGAGCACGATGAGTATGGGAATGATGCTGTACAGGGCGCATTCACAGTGGCAGTAGACCGAGAGGACACTGCGGTGTTCAATCTTCTGAAAGAGCTTGGAGCTAAGCTCGATGACGATGTGCGTGTGGCCCTGAGCCAGAAAGCGCAGGGAGAAGGACTGGAGTCAATGGTTAAATTGCTGGAAGAAGACGCACGAACATGTGAGAGTGTCAGGACTTAGTTTGTGGTATAATAGAAGTAGGACTTCTTCGCAGAAAAATGCATAACTCGAGAGTCGGAATGCTGTAGCAAGCTTCATAACAACCTGAAAACGGATACTTCGAGTCGCAAGTCAAACTTTCAGTGTGATGTATTATAACGAAAGCGCGCTCTGCAGCAGCGGCGAGAAGTAATGATTCCCCAAGCATACTCTTCACTAATAGCGATAAATTAAAGATACATAAGTTAAGTTAGCTATGCTAAGGAAAAGTAGCCGGCTCAGTAAGTTAGCTAGCTTAGTAGTAGTTTACGTTATGATTATCTCTCTTCTTCTTAGCATTTAAAGACTAAGCTGCAGCATTATTAGTCGTCTATCTCTTAAATCTCCCCAATATTTCACTTGTCTTCTTGCCCCAACTTCTTTCCTTAGCTTTTAAGGACGGCTGTTCATCAAAGCCTCTCTCTGTGCTTTCGGGCACACCTCTGTGCATCTCATCATGCGAGTTGAGTTGCGTTGTGTTAGCATTCATGACTTGTTGCGCAAACACGATTGAGTTCTGCTGCGTGGGTCCGCTAGAGGTGTCCTGGCCGCCTTGCTGCAGCAGCGCCTCGGGGTGGTGGTAGAGCATGTGGCTTTGGTCCGCCGTCGCGCCAATAACGCCCGTCTGCTGACCTTCTATCGGAGCTACAACTACTGCTGGACTTCCGGGCTGTAGATGTGGAGCAGCGCTTCCTTCTTCATCATCGACGAACAGATCAGAAACCTTGCCAGCCCCGAAGAGACGGTCGTAGACAGCGAGTGTCGTGGCGAACTCTTTGACCTGCGAGACGCGGACGGCGTCGAGGAGCTGTAAGACGTAGGTCTGGCAGTTGTTGCTGATGAGATTGTAGCCGGGGCGTGTACTACGGATTTGCTGTATCACGGCCTCGCCTCGATGCAATTAGTATCGTGCGTGTGCGTGTGCCCTTTCCCTCGCGACACTCACCAGTTCTCCGCAGCGCATCGTCATTGAAGCATGTTTCGCCAACCGGAAACGTCCTCCACCTGTCCCAATCTTAGCAATCTTCACCCCTTCCATACATTCACGCCAACTCACTCCTCTCGTTTGATCCGCGCATTCGTGTAGATGACGTCAAAGTTCTCGTCCATCCACAGCTGATGCGCATACTCACCCACCAGCATCGCCCAATGCTGCGTCGGATCCGGGTATTCGTTGATCTTGTCCGTGATCAATTTCCCCAGCCCAGTCTTCTCTGCAAACCACTTGCCCGCCAACCCGCCCACGGGGTGCCAGCCCACCTCCACTGGGCGCGGGGGCCCGCTGGTCAAGGGCTGGGAGACAGGAATGACATTTTCCGTTGCGCCTAGCCCAATTGCGTGTCTGAAGGCTATGTCTCCTTTCTTGTAACTTTTCTGGCTGCGCGAGGTGTTAGGCGGGCAGGATGCGACTGGGAGGGGCATTAAAGTGGGGCAGTCCACGTACAGCAAGTCGTTGAGTTTATTGCGCTTCTGTTCTGGAGATGTGTCGCAGTTATTGCTGCCTTTACTCATGACGCCTTACATATAAGAGCGATGCCAGGGGTGCGAAGGATGCTTCTTTCAATTCTTCGATCGCTGGCGGTGTGAAAACACAGCAGGTAGCACGCACAGCCACCGCCACATGGAACTAACCCGCCTCCGCCGATTCGTCCGGCGAACGGGATCAGACAAAGACTTCCCAGACGCACGCAAACGCTTTTCAGAAATGGAGTTTAACGTGCGTTGTTGCAGTACTAATAGACAAGGTGTATTCGCTCATGGAGCCGCTCAAATCCGAGAACCATGCCGAAGTACAACTACCTATGGTATAAGAGTGACAGAAAGCTTTTTTTCTTTTTGAAGTACCATTCTTGTCAAAGTCCGTCAATTCTCTATGAGATGGCTTGCTTTAACGATGGAACAGCAGCTACCAAGGCATACACAATGCAAGAGTGCAAAGCATCTGATTCATGAGGTAAACTACATCCCACCACAGGCTAGACCATGGAGAAATGTCCGTGCTTCTCAGCCTGGATCTGTGTCGCCGCCGCAACAGCAGCAAAGTTCCCCGTCATGATCGCATGCGGAATCACCTTGTATGGGGAGATGCAGTCACCAGCGGCAAACACCCCTCGCTCAGTGGTCTGGAATGCTGGCGCATCAGCTTGGACGTCCCCAGTCTGCGATAAAGTCAGACCCAGCTGCTTCGCAAACGGTCCCTGAGGGATGGTCAGAGGATTGTGAACTAGGAAGCACACTTCCTTCGAGTTGCCGTCGGCGAAGGCGATGTTGACGCCTCCCTCGATGTCGGTCAAGTTATCGATGGGGCGCGTGTCGACCTTGAAGGGCGAGCTTGGACACATTGCTTGGATCTGTCTCGCGACTTCTTCAGAGCCATTGGTGAAGATGGTAACTTCCTTTGAGAGTTGCGCTGCATTATCAGCCATGTGGACCGCAAGAGCAGGCATGATAGCCAGTACTTGAATGGCGAGAACACCCGAGCTTGCAGCTCCGCGGTCTTCATAGCCAAGACAGAAGAGGCAATGGTAACTGGCGTCATAGTCAGCATACCAACAAAATGGTGGTAGTCACTAGGGCGCGTACTCACATCTTCTTCTTCCATAGTTCGCTGTATCCGTCGAGTTCGGGCAGTACATCGCTCGAACCAATCGCCAGAATCAACTTCTTGGCTTCCCACGTCTTGCCTGTGTCGTCGATAACATGGAAGCAGGAATCGCTCTTCTTCTCCACAGTAGTTACTCCGACATCAGCGAACTGTACCGTCTCGTAATTCTCTTCAATCTGTCTTCGGCTTGTTGCACGGAACTCTTCGGGGTCTTTGTGGTCCCAGCCTGGTACGGTGTGAACATGGTAACTTCCCTCGTTTCGATACACGTTGTTGTCGAATACAATAACCGTGTGTGTCTGCCTGGCGAGTGTTGCTGCTGCAGTGAGACCCGCAGGGCCTCCGCCGATGACGGCGACGTCGAGAAGAGCCATTTAGAACGAAGGATATTCAAGTAAATGTAGAGATTTCCTGTAGAGATAGTAGAAGTTGTGTAGCCCTAGAGCCCTAGTTCACAGCTGAGTGCAAATTCGGTCTGGGACAATACGAAGCCATGACACTACGGCGTTGGTGGCACAGTCGACCAAAAGTAAGATTAGGACCCGTCTGGCCCTCTATGCTGCTGCGCCGTTCAACAAGATGAATTAGTAATATGGCTCAGGGTACACTTGCGTCATGATTCTAGGTCACGCTGCCTGCCTGTGGCCCGCCTTGAAGGGATGATGCGACAACCCATGCTGCGCACGTTCCGTCGTATTATTGATACACGTTTTCTCTTATTACCGCCACCGAACAGACGGACCATTAGATGTTGAGTACAAATACTGCAGAGATCAATGTTGGTGGATCATTCCAGAACTTTTAAGCTTGTCTACAGATCATAAGCAGCACGAAACGTATTGGCTCTGGTGCTTCTCGATAACGGCACTTAGTTAAAGCGACAATCTTGAATCTGCAGGGCGCGTGTTGTGGCATTGCTGCAAGCTCGCGGCGGAGTCCAAACACAGGCACATGATACTGCCTTCCCGTGGATAAACCTCGCGCGCGTCTTAGATGCTTCTGCTGCATTTTCCTGCAAGGCGTAAAGAGCTCGCGTGGACGGTCGACCGTGGATTCGATTGTCGAAATGCTAGCACATGAGGCTAAACGGCACGCAAGATTAAGACTTTAGGAAGTGCGCAGTCATATAATGGTAAAGTGCCGACGATGCTACATGTTGCCAAATTCGATGCATTGGAAGCGACCAGCGTGCTTGAGGCCTATACACAGGGTCTTGTCGCTGTCGCAGTTGAAGCCCAGCGTGGCAAGCTGCGGGCTATCAAATGCACTTGTTCATTTCCCATCTTGAATGATAGCCCGCACTATATCGTGACCTTCTCCTTATTCTCTTGAGCAAAGTCTCGAGCAATCTTGCTTACTTTGTCCTCTCCCAGCTCTTCGAACATGTCGTATCCCCACCGCGACTGCTGATTGAAACGCTTGTGTCTCTCCAACGTGTTCAACTCTTGGAACGCATCAGTAGAAAGCTCTTTGACTCGCAGATTGCTCTTGATCCTACTTGGCGTCACACTCTTAGGTAGCACGACTGTTCCGTGCTGAATGCCCCAGCTTGCGAGCACCTGTCCACGGTCCATGTTCAACCGCCGGCTAATGACATCTACCATCTTGTCATCCACGGTGCGTGGCTCACCAGTCTGGTTGTTACCCAGCGGCGAGTACGCTTCAATCTGGTTAACAACAGGGACAATGCTGGTTTTCGAGAGCAGATCGGTCAAAGCGTTGACGGTGAAGTTGGAGACGCCAATTGCGCGAACTTTGCCTGTCAAAAGGAGCTTCTCCACTGCCTTGTAAGTTATTGCAGGATCAATGTCGACCAAGTCGAAAGTACCGTCTTCGCGTAGTGGGAACCATTCACCGCTCTCACCGTTGAACGCGCTGAATACGTCAGTCAAGATGCACTACCAAGGTCGATTGACCGCTTACACGGGCCAATGAAGAAGAAAAAGATCAAAATGTTTAACGCCGACTTCCCGCGCACATTAACTAATCCGTGCTTCGGATATCCCTTTCATTCGTGCTCATCAGCTCGTTCTTGCATTCCCCCATTCCGCAGTATGCGCAAATGTCCGTATCAACACAAAATGTATCGCCGGAGAGCACACATTTTCCTGCTGGCTCGATACTACGATTGGAGCGCCCGATCATGCATCAGAAGCGTGGCCTAGATATTGTGGTCCGTGACGATCAACGAGGGCACAGGGGCAAGGTCACGAGAGCCTGCGATATCTGCAAATCGAAAAAGTCAAAGTGCTCTGGCGACCAACCCTGTGTATCATGCCACCATCGAGGACTACTCTGTCGATATAATGCTGTCTACTCTCGCGGCAAGGCACCCCGACCACGCCGTGTGGAGCACGAAAGTCTACCAAACCCACCATCCCTCGTACACTCGAGGTCTCAGTCTGCAGACCAACTATTCGGCGTTGAATCCGGAATCTCAGCCGCTCTTGAACATCAGTAGCCGCATGATGAATCCTTGATCACGCTACAATCCACTTCGGAAGAGCCCAACGAGCAGCGGGTGCAGGATCTCTCGTCTGGTAGGGCATCACCAGGCTTAGAATTCGCTGGCAAGTTTTCAGATCCTACCTCCGGTCTGTCTTTCCTGCATCGTGCGTGGCGACGCATTTCAAATGATGAGAACAGTCAGGTCATCGTAGGCCGTATCGGGGCACCCGTCGAGGACGATCAACTCTTGGCCTGTGCCGGCGACAACCCGCTTCGAAAGACTGGCCATAAGCTGATTTTGCCATCCCTTAGCAGAGGCAAGAGATTAGTCGAGCTTTACTTTGACGTGTGCATTGCTACCTACAAAATCTTCCACAGACCGTCTGTAGAAGAGTGGTGCGCTGCGGTATTGGGCAACGAGCAATCGGACAGACAACTCATCGGAGTCGGCAACGCCAGGGCTGCGGTTGTATTTGCAGTTCTCGCTATTGCTTCATTCCACGAAGAAAAGGCCAATGGCGACGACAACCCCTCGATTGAAACGGGTGGTAGTGCGCCACAAGCTGATGAGCTGTTCCACGAAGCCGTACGCCTCAGCGATGACGAGAGAGGTCTTCCCCGACTAGAATCAGCACAGTCGCGGCTCATCCAGGTACTTTACCTGCTCATATCAAGTCGGTTCAACCAAGCCTGGTATACTTTTGGTCATGCCCTGCAAATCATCTCCGCCTTGGGTCTGCATCGCAGAAACGCGCGCGGATGCACTCCCTTAGAGAGCCATGACTATATCCAAGAGCAGTGTAAGCGACGGACATTTTGGGTGGCGCACACCTTGGACAAATACCTGGGCGTCGTCTTTGGGGGACCGAGACACTATCATGATGATGACATAGACCAGTACTTCCCGGACTCTGTCAATGACGAAAACATGCTCCGCTCTGGTGCTCTGACCAATAGCGCAGTCGATCACGATTGCCATATTGACTCGTTGATCTGGCACGCTAAGCTAGCACAAATTGCAGAGAGGATATCACGGGAAGTTTATTCGATCAAAACTGTGCCGGATAGTGTTCGTCTGGATGCCTCACATCGACTTGGAAAAGAATTACACCAATTGAAAGCGTCATTGCCACCACTTCTTGGATCCGTAAATCCAATCAGCTTGATTCCTAGCTTTCGACGGCAGGCCATAGCCCTTAGACTTTCCTATTGTCATGCTGTAATGCTTGCTCATCGCCCGTTCTTGCTAAAGAACACGTTTCGCAACAGCGATGATATGCGCACGCTTGCGACCGAAAGCCTCGCAGAATGTATTTCTGCAGCCCAATCCGTTTTGGAGATGGTCGATCGTATGGCTCGAGAGGGCTGCATGTTTCACGCTTTCTGGTGGACTCACTATGTGTGTTTCTGTGCTCTAGCCATCGTCTATGTGTGGGTCATCCAAGACAGCAGCGATGTTCCAACAATCACTGAACTATACAAGCTCATAGATGAAGCCGAGCACTGCTTGAGTCATTTGGCCCGAGCGACAGCTACAAACCCTCCGTCACGCAAATACAGCATCATTTTGCAGGAGCTGAGAGCAGAAGCTGAGAGCAGAAGCAAAGAGAAAAACAGCTCGACATTTACAAGGGCAAAACCCAGCCTCAAGAGCACCAAGAGTCGATCATTCGACGGCTTCCGGCGCAGCCAATGATTGTGTCTCATCAGTCACGGATCATGTGCAGCAAAGTTGGCCAACGCTGTTCGATAGCCCGATTGACACCACAAATCCGGACTTACAAAGCTTCCTTGATGAATGGCAAACAACTGATCGGCTTTATCTCGACTCCTCTGCCTTTGGACTAATGTCCGAATTCGGAAACCTACTGTTGCATTGGACGTGAAGGAAGCGATCTGATTTCAGGGTGTTGTGTTATAATCTACTGAAATCTACGTCCTTATAACCATGAAGCAGTGTCCTGCTTTGGAGGCTTTATAATATTCTCATCCAAACACTTCTTGATAAAACGTCTTCATGCATCAACTATAATGTATATTTGAAGAGTGGAGACTTGTCGCCCATGTCCAACAACTCTTCGTCCGTGCACGTCGCGCGAACTTCTTCTTCACTTCGCCTCGCTTTACGCGTGTTGCCCCACTTGTAGGACAGCTCCAACACGAACGCGATGATGAACCCTGTTGTGCAAATGCAAGTGAAAGACCAAACCCAGTGTAATACTTTGGCTTCTCCGACTCCAGACACATGTAAGAGCAAATAACACCACCAATGTCGCCTACGCAAATGATGAAGGCAACGCCAATGGCACGTCGAGATGACGGTGCAAGGTTATTGGCTGCCCATGAGCTACCCGTCGGCTGGACGGGGTAGATGCCCATACATGTCAGAATGATTGCGAAAAAGGCTGGGCCAATGTTCTCGCCAAGCTTTCCGTCGAAAGAGATGATGACGGCGTATCCAATGAAGATGAACGATAGTGGAATTGCAACGCATGGCAGACGCCAGTAGACCCGATTCGCAAGCCTCGCGAAGACAACGGAACTGATAGCGCCAACAACATAAGGCGGCACCGTCATGAGTTGGGCATTGGTGTCGGTTAATCCCATGCTCTTAGTGATGGTAGGCAAAGTGAACTTGGTTCCTGCCGTCAAAGTGAGTGGATGTTGTCAAGGGATGTAAGTCGCGGCATACCATAGGAGCAAGCAGATATGCACATGAGTATTTACGCTTGCATGTACAAGCGCCAGTTACACAACACTATCTTGACGTCTTTCCATCGGAAATGCGCCTTTTCCTCTTGGAACTTGCCACCATCCTTGATAAATCTCTGGAGCTCAAGGTAGCGAATCTCGTCTGGCTTCAACCACCTCCCGCTCAGTCGGCGAATCGATCAAGAGGAAGAAGCACGCAATACCGAGGGCAACTGTCACAATTCCCTCAAGCAAAAAGATCCAACGCCATCTAGTTCAATCGTAACTTCAATTTTTGCCGGATGAGTGAGGAGAAAAGTGTCGGAAAACTCACCCCTCGTACCCACCAACACCATCCATCTTCGCGATACCTGCAGCTTGAAGACCTGAGAATGCTCCAGAAAGGGCAGATGCACAGTAAAAGTACGAGATACGGGTCGCTAGATCTCGTGGCATATACCAGAATGTGCATAGATAAACAGCTCCCGGATAAAATCCTGCTCTTAGGGATCGTTAGCATTGCCTTTCATGAAAAGACGGAAACTCACGTCAAAGACACCAAGAAGAATACGTGTAGCCAGCAAACTAACGAAATTCTTCACGGCACCCATCATCGTCATAACGATACCCCAGTAGACGACGAGTATGCCGAGGTAGTAGGATGGGCCCTTGAATCGCTTCAATAGCATGTTGGACGAAATCTCGAGCAGGATATATGGCACGAAAAAGACTGACAAGACAATGTTCCACTGAACGCCATCTAGTCTTAGGTCTGTTACCATGCCCTCAATTTTGGCATTCTTTACATGCGCTTGTCAGTCAATTAGGCGATGAGAATGTACCATGGGATATACGTACTCCGATGTTGGCTCGGTCAATGTGCGAAATGAGGTATAGTATGGCAAGCATGGGCACGAGGCGTATGTCAACCTGATGAGCATCAGTATCATTCTGGACACCATGTTGAGATCTGGTCCATACCTTGTGGATCACGCGTTTTCTCTTCTCGTCGGAGAAGTTGATGTAAAAGTCTGCATCGTCTGGGTCGAGTCCAAGTACTTGTATATTGTCAATCTGAACAACCTGATGCGGCTTCGAAGCGTAGACAGACTCTTCCTTCTCGTCAATGTGTTCGATATCACTTTTTTCGAAAGTGGCGGCCATTTTGTCGCAACAGACTTGGTTGTGTAGTAGGAGAAGGTGGAAAGGGCAGCGGCCATATTGTTGGTCGCTTTATACCATGAACAGACGGGACCAGGCCGCTGCGGAGACAGCAATCAAATCCTGGGGAACCCCATATGCTAACCCCAGACTCTTCACGCCATCGTGGAGAAGGGCGCTAAACCTCGGCAGTAGTAGATCGGCCCTAGCTTTGGCAGCACATCACTGCGTCCGGATAAGTGCAACGCCCAATCATTTGCATATCCGTGTGCGCGGTGTCCAGGGCGGATTCTAATCCGCACGCGTATTTACTACCCGATTTCGCCCACCACGCAAGCTTACATTGCGGAGCAATGTGGTCTGCATTCCGTTAGTTGTGTGCGCGCACATGTGCTGGAAAGCTGCTGACATATGTTCACGACGATTTCCATGTTCACAGTCTCCCTATGTCCTGTCGTTAAAAGCTTGACAACTACAATGACACCAGCACAAATCGCGCTTCCTGACGCTCCTCCTGAGCTGCTCTCAAAATCATCACTACAGAACACAGAACATGATGAACGCTTCCCCGAAGACATCGCTGTATGGACAGTCGATGCGCTGGTACGACATCGAGCGCGCCTCAATCCTCATGCGACCATAGTATCGTACCCCAGCTCGGGGGTGGACTTTGTTGACTACTCCATGCAACAACTTGGTGTGTTCGCGTACCGAGTTGCGCGACACTATCAAACCTTCATACCCAATCGGACGACTTCGAGCATACCACCAACTACGGTCGCTATATTCGGCCCGAGCAGTTTCAACTACCTGGTCACCATGCTGGTACTCACCAAGTTAGGCCACACGGTCTTGTTCTTGTCTACTAGGCTATCACAAGTAGCGATAGAATCTTTGATAGAGACGACCGGTGCGACGTATCTGCTGGCTGATACTCGGTTCCTCGAATTGGCAACCAATGTGAGCAATAACATACCTTCTTTGCACATTGGTTCGATTGCAGGGATGGGTGTCTTTGACTTTCCCGTCGAGGTGCATGCCGATACGCGAATGGACTATCATCTCGACCCAGCCGTTGAAGTAAATAACAACATCTACATTATTCATTCAAGTGGTATGTATTACGGCAGCTTCGGGGTCCTTTCGCTGACTTATCTAGGCTCGACTGGTCTACCAAAACCAATATACCAACCCCAGCGAAGTGCCATTGTGAATTATTCCAGCAGCATGGACATGAAAGAATTCATTACCCTTCCCATATATCATAATCACGGCATCTGCAACTTCTTCCGCGCCATTTACTCTGGAAAGTCGATACTCATTTAAATGCCGCCCTTCCACTCACAACAACTCACCTTACTGCAATATTGCGGAAACACGAGTTTGAAATCTTTTACGGAGTGCCTTGTGCGCTCAAGCTACTTGCAGAGACGTCGGAAGGTATCGAATTGCTCAAGCAGCTGAAGATTGTCATGTACGGCGGTAGCGCGTGTCCAGATACCCTGGGCGATTTGTTAGTCGATCAAGGCATCAATCTCATCGGACATTACGGCACGTAAGTGTATACCTCTATCCCCTATAGCGGGTTTTAACGTGTCCATAGGACCGAGGTGGGGCAATTCATGACATCTTTCCGTCCCCAGGGCGACAAGGCGTGGAACTATGTTCGCGAGTCACCAAAACTCTCGCCACTCCTCCGCTGGTTACGGCGCGGTCCAAACCTCTTCGAAGGCACTGTGCTCCCTGGGTGGCCAGCAAAAGTCGCGTCGAACCAGCCCGATGGTAGTTATGCTACCAAGGACCTTTTTGAGCCTCACCCGACGATTGACAAAGCTTGGAAGTACATTGCCCGTCTGGACGATACTATTGTGCTAGTGAATGGAGAAAGGTTCAAACCCGTGATGACCGAAGGCAAGATTAGATCACACAAAGCCGTCACGGAGACTGTCATCTTTGGATCTGGTCGTCCGTATCTGGGTGCACTCATTGTACCAAGTCCGTTAGTACATGAATTGAGTTCGGATCAGGTTTTTGATCAGATATGGCCTGTCATTGAGGAGGCAAATCGCACTGCCAAAACATACGCACGGCTATCGCGTGACATAATTCGCGTCTTACCACACGACTGCCAATTTCCTCGCACAGATAAGGGCAGCATCATCAGACAAGCCTTTTACAAAGCCTTTACAGCGGATATTGAGAATGCTTATGATCAAACAGCAAGTGTAGACGCCGATCTCAACGCACTAAGTATACCGGAACTTGAAGCTTTTGTCCGCGACACTCTGGTCAAAGTATTACCGGACGCGAAGGATCCAGACTGGACGGCCGACTTCTTTTCCATGCGTCTAGATTCACTCCAATCCAATTAGATCCACACTGCTATATTGAAACCAATCGATATTGGCATCAACAAACTCGGTCAAAACGTGGTTTTTGATCACCCGTCAGTTGCATCTCTCAGCGAACATCTTTACAGTCTTCTTTATGGGCTTTGGAAGAGACTGCTTCCGTAACAGCGGAGATGCAAGACCTTATCGTCAAGTACAGCAACTTCCAGAGCAGTGCCGTACTTACTGGCGCAACCGGTTCTCTTGGCGCACATGTCCTCGCGCAGCTCATTGCGCGTCCAGATATCCAGACTGTCCACTATCTCGTGCGCGCCAAAGGATGATCAAGATGCACAACGTCGCGTTCAAGAGTCTTTGCAGCAGCGCAAGATTTACAACTCGCTCTCACCAGCAGCGCGCCAGAAAACCCACGCTCTACCTTCAGACCTGCCTGACCCTCAACTCGGTCTTGATAGCAAAACATACCAGTCCGTAACCAAGAACCTCCGAAGCGTCATACACTGCCCCTGGTCCGTCAACTTCAACCTGAGTCTTTCGAGCTTCAAGAAAGATTGCATAGCAGGTGTGCGCCATCTCATCGACCTCTGTCTCGCAGTCCCTGGCTCAAAGCCAGCTTCATTCGACTTTTGCTCGTCGGTAAGCACGGTTTCCAAATTTCCACAGCTACATACACCTGAGACGATGGTCGAGCTTGACTGGGCGTAAGATATGGGATACGCGCAGAGCAAGTGTGTGGCAGAGCACATATGCATGGCGGCTTCCAAGGCTACTGGTATGCGAGCGCGGATTCTTCGCGTGGGTCAAATCGTAGCGGGTACTACTCGTGGCGTTTGGAACGATACCGAGGTTATTCCGCTCATCATAAAATCGGCGCTGACGATAGGTGTGCTTCCAAAGCTGCAACAGTCGCCGAGCTGGACGCCCGTGGATGTCGTTGCGCAAGCTGTTATTGAGATTACGCTGAGCGACGCGGAAAGCATCGTGGCCAACGTGACTAATGCAAAGACATTTTCTTGGACGAAGGATCTTCTTCCTGCGCTGATGGAAGCTGGGTTCGAGTTTGAAGAGGTGGGGCCAAAGGAGTGGGTGAGAAGACTGGCTGCGTCGAGTGATGATGTGGTTGTCAATCCACCGAAGAAGTTGCTCGATTTTTTTGCGTCAAAGTACGACAAGCATATATTTGCGCCATCGCGGACATATGAGACGGGTGTTGCGACTTCGCTGTCGCCCGCATTGGCAAATGCGCCTATCTTCAATGCTGATTTTGTCAAGACTTTTGTTCAGCAGTTTCAACGCACTGCTTGGAAGCGCTCATAGCATACTAACTTCTTAAAAATGTTCATGCTGGCCTGATTAGTTTTGTCACTTTTTATTCTCTTTCCTTGTATCAAAGACATGTAGATGACTCTGAATCCCGCAGTCAACCATGTGCTCTCCGAGAGTCACAAGGCGGAAGGCAGGAAATAACTCCAAGCTTGCGTATAGAATTCTGCCACGATGATTGGAAAGAACATCTTAACAACCAAACCCTGAATCAAGCTTGAAAATCAAATAGAATGCATCATGCGTCAATGATCGGAGCTCAGTAGTATACTTTATCAAAGTATCAAATGGTATTCCCGCTCTGCTATATAAATCGCTCAATCAATTTCACAAAACTACATCTTAAAAACGTCCACAACCCCCTCCCACTCCCCCCTCTCCCTCGATTCCCAATACCCCTCCTTACCACCCTTTAGCCTCCAGACCTCCTCATCGCCCAGTTCCACCGCCTCGACTTTACTAAACCACTTGGGCCGCCACTCCTCACCGTGCTCCTCCATGACTCTTCTCCTTGCTCGCTGCCTTTCTTCCAGCCTCGCTTTGAGCGCCTCAGCCTTGTCCAAATCTCCGTCCTCCAGTGCCTTTTGATCGGGCCTGAAACGGCTATCTGTAGGCGGGATGTGCGACTCTTCGATGGAAGTGATTTGATTCAGCGCGGCGGCAAACGTGGTCAACCCGTAGTGTTTCTCTGGCTTGTCGACGAGGCCCGCGACTTTCCACACAGAGTGTCCAGTCGGTTGTCCATTACTGGTGAACTCCAAGCTTTGCGTCCATTTTCCCTGCGCGCCGACGGATAGCGGACTCCCCGTGGCATCAAAGACTTGGATCGACACATCTTCTGAGCGGCCTGCAAACATGCCACCCGCTTTGAATGTGCAGACTGCTTTCGCGCCCGTCGTCTCGGAGACGATGGTCATGCTCCCAGTCGGCTCGACATACTTCTCCCCAGCAATAATGTTGCGCAGATAGCTCGTCGCCTGGACCCAACTATAGTGCTCGCCGCTCGCATGCAAAAATATGCGCACTCGCCCGTCGGTATTCAATTCCGCGCTTTTCCCCCAGAATTTCTGCACCGGCATGGGAGACTGAATAAACGTCCACTCTGATGCCTCGGCTTGACATGCCATGCGCACAGGGCGATGGATCACTTTCTCGGCCAGGAAGCGGAAGCCCTTGTCTTCGCGGACGAGCTCAAACGTCTCGCCGAGCATGGGATTAAAGGGTTTGCGGATGGCGCGGTCTTTGACACGCGCGTTGCTAAAGGCGGAAATGGCAAAGGCTGCCATGTAGACGAGGCGCTCGCCTGTTTCGGAAGATGCGGTCACGGCGGCGTCGAGAAGTTCGCTGTATTCGAGTTGTTCCGCGAGGCGTTGGAGGAGGGATGTGGGCTCGTTGGCGGAAACAGGCATGGCGATTGTGGATAAGTCTTTGCCTACATTTTTGCGCATAAAGGCGACGAGACTTGGTGGTTGAACTTTTGGCGGCTGGATTGTGACGCGACGTTGGACAGGCTTGAGGGGTAGAGGAGAGAGCGATGCAGGCTTTTGCGGAAAAAGAGACGGTGCTGCGTCGATTGAGAAGCGAGCGCGTTCTACCACGCCACTGCTGTGGCCGGAAGAGGATTCAGACTCGCCATCAGAATCATCGTCGTGAGATTCTTGGCGTTGTCGCTCCGCATCTTCGCTATCTCTACGAATGGTCAAAAGAGTCGACTTGCTCGGGTCTCCATCTGGTGCATCGAAAAACTCTTCAGTAGACTCGAATGATTCAAAACTCTGGCGTGAAGGTGTCGCCGAAGGAGGCGCCGGAGTTCGTCTTTGCTTGCTCTCAGCAATGAGCTTGGAGAATTCTTGCACGACTGAATCGAGGTCTCGCAACAAGGCCATGCAGTTGTCGTGAACGTTTTCTTCTGCCGGTTGTTGAGTGGCACTCTGACGGGAAGCATGTTTTGGAACTGCCAAAGTCCCATTTCCAGGAACGTGTGACGGCAGAGGCGGAACTGGAGGTATGGCCCCAGGTGATGCCACGCCCACTTGTGCAGATACACTTCTCCTAAACATACCAGAAGGACTCTGGGCAGCGGAAGTGCTTGCTTTCCGTTTCCAAAACGTCTTCTTCTCTGACCCTGCATCGACAGGGAAATAGTCTCCTGATTCGGATTCTGATGGGGTGGGAGAGAGGCTATCTTGCAGTTTGACGATGCCTAGACCAGCTGTGGAATTGTACTTGGGGTCGGTGTCTTGGGCAAGTCGCCGCACTGCATCTCTCGTTCCTGCAATTCGTCCTACCAACGCTTCTGCCCTCGCCCACTCATTGTCCTCTGCGTGATTGGAAATGTGCGGAAGGCTGTGATATGGGCTATCCTTGATCTGAAGCATTGGGGATGACTGGGCTGTAGCAGCTCGAGATGCTCGATCTAGCGCATCTCTCCACATTTTAAAGTCTTTTGCATTGCTCGCTCGCAGCTGCCAAACCTCGGCTCCCGAATCAATGGAAATTTCTCTCGATTCCTCATTTGCGCCAACAGCAGCTAGCGATAATGGTATAGCACCGCGTAGAGCCGAAGAATGGTCGTTTCGGTAGTATGATAGCGTTGAAGATGTGAAATCCAGCGAGAAGAAGCGCCTAGCGTAGCCCTGGTTCCTCTTTCTCCTCTTCTTATGCAGCACGCCAGTCAGAAACGAGGAGGAACTGGAGAAGCTGCCCAGTTTTGGCGCGGCCTGCGTCTTTGGTCGGTCTGCAAGTGCCTGGGGTAACGACTCGGACGATTCAACAGGGCCCATGGAGGGGCTCGACTTGGGGAGACTGGTGGAGCTTCCCATGGCGCTTGCCTGCGCGTACCGCATGTGATGACCAGACTTTGGCGCGGCATTCGTCGGATACGTCATGAGGACAAAGGTGGCCTGTTTCGAGACTGTCTTGGAAAAGGTGTTGTCGAAGACGAGTCCGTACATGCCTCCCTCGCCTGGTGGCACGTCGTAGGTCCCCAGCGATACCTGGTCTGCCTCGCATTTCCCGTGCCATTGTACCTGCTTCAGCCCGATTGCGGACAGCTTCTCTAAGACGACGGTTCTGTCGTTTCTCGACGTGGACAGGCCGCGGCCGCGTGTGGTGGCGGGCACTTCGAGTCCCGGGGTGGAGGGTCCGGCTTCAAAGGTCGCCGAGGAAGGAAGATGCGGAGTCGCGCCGGTAGCATTTCCCGGGTGCTTGAATATGCCAAAGTTGAGCGATTTCTTGTGAGGCTGTACGCTCCATGAAATCGTGTGTCCAGCAGAGACGTTTACCCAGCGAACCAGGTACGACTAGACGAATTAGCTAGGGTTCTGGTGGTTCCAAGGTTGGAGCCTTCACGTGCCTTGCTATGCACTTCGACATTCTCCATGCCTGCCATGATTGCAGTCTCTCTTCCCGCTTCTCTCTTGTGAATTGTGTTTACGTGGAGCTCTCCGTCGGCCACGCGGGGTTTTGGGTGGTGCCTGTGGGTCGCAAAGCTACGTGCATGCGCCGGATGGTAGCGACAGCAGACGTGATAGATAACTAGTCAGTCTTCAACGAGCGGACATGTCGGACGAAGAAGCAGTCGGCGGCGTGTCGCGGAATCGGGGCAGCCTGGTAAGCTTTGCGGGTGGGCTGGCAGTTGCGTGGATTGCACCGTATCGGCTGATGAGATTCGCTGAGACACGGCGTGACGGGTCCGTGATGACAGGAAGCTCGACCTGGAATCTTCCGGACTATGGCATAAAGCAACGACAACAACCCTCGCGAAAAGAACAGGTATGCGGCGTCACGCTCGCCGCGGGTGTGTACATGACAGTATTTAGACCCTGGTCACATTTCCAATTCAGCCTTACGCCGCCAACAAACAACGCCAGCCCCCCCGCGACCGTCAGCCACACCTATTGTCGTCCATTCCAACCCCATTGTCGACTGCTCACATAAGCTATCAATGCGCTTCCAGCTTCCGGCGTCCAGCTTCCAAGACTTCCGACACCAACCTCTCGTCATCTTCGGTCGCTACCAGCACGTTCTGCGCCGGGCTGCCACGCGCGACACGTGCAGGGTCCGCGCGGATGACGTCGGCTTCAGGTTCTCGAATTTCGGACAGCGCGGATTCTTGCTTTCAGCTTTGAAGCATTCCGAGCTATCCGGGGCGTCATGCCACTTTTCTTCCGTCGCATCATGCACCACATGCACTCTAGTCACGGCGTGGACAAAGTAAATCCGCATGCTTTGCACACAGCGCAATGATACGCCCAGCTTTATGTGAAGTTGTTGCGACGACCACGACTACTACAGTCAAACCCCATAGAAACGCCAAAGTCATTGGACAAGTATCATTCAGGGGGTAATTTCAAACTCAACATCGCTTCAAGGGACCTTTCGAAAAATACGTTTAAAGCAGTCTTCTCGTTCAATCACACCGTAGCTAACCCTAGGTATACTCATGCTATGCGTGTTTCAATGTAGTTCCGAACCAAGTCTTATTTCCCTTTTCCTTCTTCCGCCATGCTGTCACTTTTTCTCTCTACACTATGCTTAAAGTCTGTTCTTTACTTAGAGGAAGCCACTGCATGGGTACGATCTGCGTCTCCTCTATTCTCCGATGCATCGTCAACCATCCCATCGCCCTGGTGACACGCTAGGCTGGTCGAACCAGCGAGCACATCATGACCTGCATTGACGTCCCAGAAATGAGTTTTGCCGCTCAGGTCGACAGTGTTGCCGTTGGCACAAGTGTAGGTACCTGGGGCGACGTCCCAAGGGTTCCGCATAATAGCTGACGGCGCATCTGTGCCATAGGTCAGAGACGAACAAATGAGGACGCTTGGAGAGATGAACTTACCGTTCTTAGTGGTCGAAGGCATCTCTGATTCGGCTAGAGCGATCGAGTAAAACAGTGTGTGAATTTGGTGGAATCGTGTGTTTGAGGATTTGTTTTGGCTTGGTAACAGTATTTGTAGGCTTTCCGTGCTAATGTGGGTTTCTACATGCTCAACATCCTCTTCTACTGATTGCCACTCAGCTTGCAGTACTACTCGCCAGCAGAGAGGGTCTCGGCTCCGTTGTGGATGTATTGTGAGGACTCAGTCGTGTGTGTTACGAGTAACGTCAGGCATCGATTTGCACATGGGTTTAGTGAGGAGACCTTCTGTGGCATCAAATCACCATTCGTACGCACCAAGATGAGGTACCTGGCAGTGTTGTTACTGGGCAACCTTGCAGGGAAACGCCGGCCACAAATCCATGCTCGCTTGCGTAAGGCTCAAGTATATGGTTGATAAGACAGGTAATAGCGGGTGCCCACATGGCAGCGATACTAGTATTTATCACACTACTACAGGTCATGGTCGAAGGTCTCAGCGAGCCTCACGCATTGCCTGTATCAATCGCATCCCAAAACGACAGGCCCTCGCAGAGCACAGGGTACAATGACTCGACAGAACCGCAACGTCGGCGTCAGTGCCTATATTACCATCAGTACATGGATAAAGATTGGGGCCAGAGTCTTGAAGAGGAGCAGGCGGACCTAGCAAGGGGAGCCCAACTAGATGCTACATGGGAAACTGAGGATACCGTCTTTTTTGGATACGAATGTTGATCGCTTCTTGTACGAAGAGCTAGTTGAAATGTACGGCACATCTGTGGACACTAGCGACCTCGAGTCTTTCGCTCGGCAAATCGAAATCGCTGACTACATCCTCCATAAACATGACTCTTGGAGGCACACTTCCGGTCAGAACAAGTCGAATATGACGGTAATGGCTTTCCGCGACGAACTCAATCAAAAAGGCTTGGAAGACTCACAGGAAGGGCACGGCGAAGACCTCGCTTTACGCGTAGGTCTCAGAGAGAAAGATGTCATCTCCGAGCCTAGAACGATTAGTGTGGAGCAAACTGAGCACATCAACATAAATGGCTCAGTATTCCATTCGACAAACAATTACAAATCGCTATCGGTCGCAGGTAAAAGGCGCGCACGCAAACAGCGATTGAAACGTTCCATGGGAGCTGAAGAAAAACACAAAGCAACGCTGTGCCGACAAACCAATGTTCCACACGATCTCCGACAATGGCGCAACAAAAGATACAAGCGGGGAACAGATCCCTATAACACATGCCACACATGCTGGCAGCTGTTCGCGTGCGGCCACAACCATCACACACTATGTTACATCTGCGACACCGCCTGGGATCAGAAACAATTGTTGAAATGCCCACTACATCAGCTACGGCGAAACGCCCTTTTGAAGCCAGAAACCTTCATCTTGTTCCCCCCGGGACCATGCAGCATATGTCGCGACGCCAAATCGATGAATGCGCGGTATCGGTTGCGCAGACTATGCAATCTACCGACCCATATCAGGCAGTGGATGATGAATGCTGACCTCCTACATCTACAGGACTTGCTGGAGCTTGATGTTGATTATGATTTCGAATTAACTTTGGAAGATGGGCTCATCAGAAGTTTCGGAGTTGATGAGGATGAGCTAGAGAAACCCCTTTGGGATGAACTAGATGAATGGCAGCTGCTAGTAGATGACTATAGAGACTTTCGAAGGAGATCGAGGTGACATCAAACTACTTATATCAGAATCGAGGTCTTCTAGGGTATATAATGAGGAAGATTGAAATTGGTGGAAGAGGTGAGACTGTATCGAATCAGCAATGAATATTTGTCTAGAGGTCTATGTTCCTCGAACAGTCTCTTCTTTGCGCCTGTCTGACTGATCAATGACCATCTTATCGCCCTAGTGTGGCATCAGGCTAGTCGAATCAGAAGACACACCACGGCTTGCATCAAAATCCCAGAAACGGCTTTTGCCGCTCAGATTGGGGGTTTTGTGCATAAGCAAACGCCCGACTGCGCCGCAGTCTCAAGGATGGCGCTAAACCGAATGACTACTCAGAACCTCACAACTCCATTCATCACCACAGTTTCTCAACGTCCTGCTAATCATGGATATACGTCTTGGGCAGCTGCGTCCGCTAATCGAGCAACTCTTTGAGCTCAGCGGCTCACCGGGCATGTCCCTCGGTGTGCTACATCACGACACCCCGATTTACACTGCTCATTTTGGCCGGCGACGAGCATCCCAAGCGCCCCCTCCGGATGATGACACGCTCTACAATGTCGCTTCCATGACCAAACGTATGACCGCAGGCGTCGTCTCGAATCTCGTCGAGCAAGGTCTACTAGGCTGGGACGTGCCCATACGGCACTACTTGCCCGAATTCAGCGAGAGAAAAGACGACGTCGGACACCATGCAACAGTGACAGATCTGCTGGCCAACAGAACCGGGCTATCTGCGCAAAACACGTTTTGGGGTACCATGTTTGAAGACATTCTTACTAAGCGGGACGATGTTCCCAAACTGGCCTGCCATATCCCAGCGTTCGGCGAATTTGGCAAGACGTTTGTATACTCGGCTTGGGGATATGCGCTTGTCACGTCTGTCATTGAGCGAGTGACGGGCGAACCATTTAGCACCTGCGTGGCGAAATACATCTTTGAGCCGCTGGGCATGAACCGCAGCACACTCAATCTTCCAGCCGTCGACAATGCAGTTTACAAACACTGGGTGGGCCTTGATGGCGTCGCGCACGAGTTTCCCTGGTCCGAATATCGCGGTTGGTCCGATGACACTGGATTCGGTGGCGCGGTCGGTGGACGCAGCTCAACCAGTGAGCTTTTAGTCATGTATCAATCACTACTACATGCGTATGACCACCAGAGAAGAAATGACGTCGACTGTACTCCCGGTTCGCCATTCAAATATGCTCGTAAAATACTCTCTCCTCACGTTGGCGTGGGCAACGCCTCTGCAGAGAAGCAGGGCTATTGTCTCGGGACCTACCGAACAGAACTCCCCGGAAACCTATCCTTCGCGAGCTACAACTCGATACTTTTGGGGAAGAAGAGCAATCGGCTGTTTGGAAGTGCACATGCTGGTCGGGCGATATTTCATCAAGTGGCAAACTTCACAGGCTACACTGGGTCCATACTACTGGACCCGCAGTCCCAATCTGCCGTTTTTGTTCTGGCAAACTCACTGCCCCTGTTCGACATTTCAGGCATTGTCGGACAAGTCCTTCTTGGCACTCTTCTGGGAGAGATTGATCAGACACACTATCTTGATCTGGCCAAGTCGGTAAAGAGAGCCAATATGCTCGTATACGATGCATACGCCTCTGGACTTGCGTCGAAGAAGACCGATATCAACCCATCATTCCCACTCAAGAACTACCAAGGAGACTACAGCAACGCTACGAATAGCATGTGCTATTCAGTCCACGTCCACGATAACCGTCACCTACGAATCTCCGCCAAGGGTCCGCACCTCACAAACTACATACTAGAGCACAGCGGGGGAAACACGTTCTTTCTAGCGCCAAACCGCCAACTGGAGCTATCACAGAGCATGTGGCCATTCACATCGCCCAAGACACGCATCTTCACATTCAATGTTAGCGATGGTGACGTCTTGAGTTTTACGTGGCATCATGACCCGACGCCGGGGAGCAAGCCGGAGACGTTTTCACGGTGGACCGGAGAGTTGCAGGCGAAGCTATAGTTGTCAGCTTCAAGATTGCAGAGAATAGTCCCTTCACAATAGAAGAGCATTGGCAACGCTTTGCATCGATGCGTTGCAAGCACACTTGAGTGTTTGATATCAATTTTTTTCACCTTTTGCGTATACAGGATAAGCAGTCCTGCAAGGCAAGCACGTACAAGCTACATATACCTTCACCTTGGCCAAATAATGCAGATTAGTGAAACGCTCACATGTCGTCCCTGGCTACTCCAAGGACCTGTAAACAGCCGAGCGGATCTTAACATGCTGATTGCGACGACACTAGAGTATGTGAAGCTTGATCCATTGCGCCTTGGCTACACAAAGTTTAGCTATCACTCTAGACCATTGTAGCAGTCTTACTGCATTGTTCATATCCAACTTGATTTGCAACACGAGAGCCAGGGCGATAGAAATGAATCAATGAATCAATGAATTTCAAAACCGGGTATAAATATGTCAGTCAGAGCTGTATGTGCCCCATTTTGGAAAGACCCAAAGGCTCCAGCAGATGCCAACGCCGTTACAATGCCATGTACCCAGATTCGAACAACGCATTACACAATATCCATGGTCGGTAGAAACGTCCATCTCTCAAATCTCAATGTCAACACCCATGTCCATGCTAGCGATAATGTCATCGTCCATCTTGGGCTTTCGGAAAGTCGGCAGGCCCTTGCGCTCCGACTTCTTCTTGTCAGCCTGGGGTTTCGGCGTCGATGCGCGTGATGAGCCGTCGCCGTCGAAGAGGGCATCGACTTCCAAGGTCTGCTTCTTGGCCACAGCCTCGGCTTGTGCCTTCTTGGCCTCTTCCTCTGCCTTCCGCCGCGCAGCTTCCCTGCGCTGCTCAATCTTCTTCTCACGCTGCTGGTCTTGCAAAGTCTTCTTGACTCGCTCGGCCTCGTTGATGCGCGTCTTGCGGTTCAGTTCGGCGACACGAGCGGCAGCGGCTTCCGACTGTGTAGCTATCCGGGGCTGACTGTCCGAGTTTTGGCGTTGCAGGAGATGAGCAAACTTCTTCGTCTTGGCAATGCGAGCGGATATGTCGGCGTCGGTCCAGTGGTGGTTCTGGAGACCCATGAGGTCATTGTACTTGCGCTGAAGATATGACTGAGTGGGGAGCTTGGAGTTGTTCTCGGTCAAAGATGCCTTGTAGATGTCGAGGTCTTGTTCGGTGAAGCGCTGATTTGACATGAACTGGAATGAGTAGTCTTTCTTGACCGAACCATGCTGCGCAATGGCGTACTGGTCGGTAGCAATACGCTTTCCATTCTTGCCCTCGAAGACGTAGGGTTTGCCAGTGGAGAAGCCTAAAGATTATTAGTTAGATCGCGACGAGATTCTAAAAAGTACTTACCCTTGATTTGCGCCATCTTGTAAAGCGTCCTCCGCTGCGAGTCCTGACCCACGCCAAGTCGTGCAAAGGTTCCAGTCATGGCGTCTTCGAATCCAGGGTGGAAGCACACCTCGGAGAAGAAACCGCGGCCAACGCGAACAGACTCGATATCACGGAGCGAAGCAGGCTGGTCTTCGCGTGCCTTCTCTGCTGGTCGCTCATCCCATTCGACATCGCTGTCGCCGTCCGCGTCGTTGTCAGTTCCCGCGCCTCTGTCACCAGAGCTCGACCGTCGGCGGCTGCGGCGATCATCCTGGCGTTGTCGTTGCTGGCCACGCTGCTCGCGCTCACGCTTGTACGCCTCGAGCTTGTCATTCTTTCGCGGCTGGACCTTGGGTCGGCTACTCTTGTGCATGGCATCGTCGGGCTCGTCCGAGTCAGCCTTGCGCTTCCTGCTGTTGTTGTCTTGCGCAGCGCGCCTGGCTAAGTCGGCTCTGAACTGCGCCCGTTGTGCCTCTTCTGCGCGCTGGCCGAGAATCTCTTCGCGCTCTAGTTGGGACATGCCCATAATGTGTCGCTTGTCCGCCTCGTCAATGTACTTGCCATCCAGGGGGTAAGGCACGTCGGCTGATCGCTCTGGAACGTCATCGTCGCGGTCCGAGTCCGACTCGTCCATGGCATCTGATCCTAGCGAGTTTGGCGATGACGCTGCGGGCGATGAGCTGCGTGGGGTCAGCTTCATGTTGCACGAGGAGTCGAGCGCGTGGTTGAGGAGTTTCGCGTAGTCGGGGTTGGTTGAGGGTCGATGGAGAAAGGTAGAGCGGGGGAGGGAGGGGCAGTAAAGGTGTATAGGTGAGAGAGAGAGGCTACTCACGCTTCACCCTCCTCAATGTCCGCCTCTTCGTCGCCGCCAGCGAGGGCGAAAAGCTCATCGTCAATGTCACCCGTCGACATAATGAAACAAGTTGTAGATGAAAGCGCCGGTCTCTCTGGTAATTTCGATGGGGATAATGCGGAAACAGGGTCGCAAAGTCGAAGGCGAAGTGAAATGGCGCGTTTTGGGGGTGAGAAGAGAAGAACGTGGGAGCGCTGAAGACGGGGAAACGTCGATTCTAAAAGGCGGGCACGGACCAGTACGCGTCTGGCGGGCGGACCACTTTAAGTCGCTAGCGCGGTCGAGGTCAATGACCGCATTGATAGAACATTTGTTTCCTTTTATCATTCATCCGACTCGAACAAACGCACGCTCTACACCGTTCACCACTCTTGAGAAAGAGAACATGGCTTCCAAGATCCTATGCACACGTTCATTGGCTCGAACAATACCACGCCGCGCACATCACCTCGTCCTCGACTCGTGCGCCCCAAGTACCAAATGCGCATTACGCTCACGCCGACACCAAAGCACATCCCCACAAACCTCGCATACACCACCCCCACCCGCAACCTCCAACACGCCCATCTCCCCCTCCTCACCACAAGTCTCCCAAGATGCATCCTCCCAAACCTCCAAGCCCATCCGCCCCCTCTCCCGCGAACAACGCGCCTTCCTCTCCTCCGCCCTGCGCGTAAACCAAACCGGCGAACTCGCCGCTATCCTCATCTACGCCGCGCAAAACCCCGTCATCGTGCGGTCGCACCCGCACCTCCGGCCCTTGATGAAGCACATGTACGACCAAGAAGCGGGCCACTACAAGTACTTCAACGAAGTGCTAAGCAAGCACCGAATACGCCCGACAGCCATGACGCCCGTGTGGACCGCCGCGGCGAGTTTTCTCGGGTGGAGCACGGCGGTGCTGGGGCGTGAGGCGGCAATGGCCTGTACAGAAGCTGTCGAGACGGAGATTGGGACGCATTATAATGAGCAGGTGAGGGTGTTGTTGGATTGGGCGAGGAAGTGTGAGGAACGTGGGGAGAGTTTGGGGCCAGAGTTGGAGGCGTTGATGGGGCAGATGAGGAGGATTAGGGATGAGGAGCTGGAGCATTTGGATCATGCAGTGGAGAATGATGCGAAGCAGGCGAAGCCGTATGAGTTGTTGACTGAGGTGATACGAGGGGGGTGTAGGGGGGCGATTTGGGTTAGTGAGAGGGTATAGAGTATTCATGTGTATAGTAGAACTTTGTAAACTTGTATGATGACGATAATGGTATATGGCAAAGCCGACTGGCGCTGCATGATGCCTCTGGCATTCTATATCCAGAATGAATGCCCATTCAAAATGATATACATCGCTAAACCCGCAACACGTAAAGAAAGATCGAACTACTCAAAACCACCGGTCATATCACCCAAGACGCTTCTCATACCATGTTTCCTCCCTGCGCTGACCTTTTTCCTTAGTGCCTCCTTCCTCTTGCTATCCTTCTTCTCCAGCAATTGCCTCCTCTCCGCCTCTCTTGCTTGGGCGTGAATGTTGCTCTTGCCAGTTCCGCCACGACGGACGGATTCCGAGGGCACGCCTCCTTTGGTCGATCTCTGGGAATCTGATGACGCGGATAGATTGGATGTAGCCTGGCGGATGAGAGAAGGGATCCGGAATCCGGGGGCATTACTTGATCGCGACGGAGCGTGGAAAGCTAGGTTGCCGCCGTCTGGCGCAGCCTCTGAAATGGTAGATGTGCGAGACATTGTCAGACGATCAACAATGGGCTTACGAGAAGCGACATTGGGTGCCGGGGATTCGTCGTCGTCGTCCGACTCGGAGAATTGCGAATCTGGCACGATGATGCGCGGATCGTCGAGCAATTCAGACACAGAATTCTGAACGTCTGCAAGCGTGATTGGTTTGCGTAGGAGATTGTCCGACGCAGCAGTGCGACGAAGATTTGGCGGTGGTCGATTCTCTTTTTGTGAATCAGATGGTGACTTGCGCTTGAGCGGGTTGTCCGATCCCGAGGGATTCCCAGCGTCAAGTGTCTGCGAGTCGGGAATGGCTACGTCGTCCATCGCTTGGCCCTCTTTTGATCCATCATCTTGAGACTGGCTCTCCGTGTTGCCACCGAGGTCTGCGGGCATGTTGAGAAACTCGTATTCGCCCTCGTCTGCAAAGTCTGCCAAAGTGTGGAAGAAGGCTTGCTTCTTTTGGTCTTTGGCAATGTTGCCAATGCGCTCGTCAGCCAGCAAAGCCCGATTCATCTTCTGGAATTCAGCGCGCTTCTTGCGGAGACGCAAGTCTTCTTCGTCTTCCGAATCCGACATGTCAAAGTCATCACGACCACCAGCACGCCTGCGAAGACCTCCGTTCATGACATTCTTGTAGAGCTCGTTGATGTTCTTTTCGTCTTCCTTTTTCGCCTTATCACTGCGTCGTGTTAGTCATCACATTCGCTTGCATACTTAGACAGGGACTTACGCAAAAAAGGCGGCAATTTGCCGCTCATCAACATCAACCTCGCCGTGTTCAATCATATTCTTCGTATCTTCGTCTTCATCTCCACTGTCGTCGTCACTTGCACCTCCAAGTCCGGCGTATTCATCCTCGGATTCCTCGGCTTGGTCCATGACGGCCCCTTTGGCGAGACTGGTCTTCTTGTCAAAGTCGTCCATGGCCTTTTGCTTCTTGGCACCCTTTTGCAGCTTGGCAAATGCATCTCGGCGAGGCTTTGGTGGAAGCTGAATGTCGTCGTCTTCGCTCATATCCGCTACAAGGTCCTCTTCAACGTCTGAAAGTTCAACAGCCGCATCACGAAGCCCACGTTGCAGCTTGCCCTTTTTCTGTTTGATGGGAGATTCAGAGATGCTCATCATGATAGTGTCCACGGTCGAAGGCGGCGGCATGACGCCAGCTGGCGAGCGTGAAAAGGAAAAGCCGGCATCTTGTGTGGGCTCGGGAAAGTCTTCGATCTGTGTGCGCGAAAAAGCTGGTGAAGTGTTGACTATCTGGCTGATACCAAGGCTAAATTGTGTATCCGGGCCTGATTGAGATTCCTTTTGCTGTGAAATTATTGATTGGCTGTTGGGTATCACAAAATCTGAAGCCTGGCTAAAGTTGGCACCTGGCTGGGTCTCGGGTAGGCTTCGTAAAAAGTCCAAAGAATCTTGCTCTGGTTCAGCAACAACAGACTGAGAGCCAGATTCCAGATCTGCCATGGTGCCGGCAAACATTTGGGTAAGACCGAGGCCAGCATCGGCGTTGCCAAAACCAAAAACAGCCATTGCATCGTCTTGCGTCGCTTGCTGTGTGGGAGAGGCGGGCATGGGTACATCGTTGTCGCTCTCGTCTTCGTCATCCACGATGATGTTTCGTGCTCGGGTCGTCGTCCGCTGGCGCGCAGGCACGCTAATGACGTCCTCGTCCATGTCGGCATCCTCGTCCTGGTTTTGCTCTTGGGCGGCTGATTCGTCGTCTTGGTCCTCTTCGGCCTCGTCAGCAATCAACTCGTCGCCTTCATCCTCGGAACCTGAAAGTTCAAGCTCGACCTCCTCGTTTTCAGCTTCTGCCTCGGGCTCGTCGGCATTCTCTTCACCACTTCCTACATAGTCGTCGTCAGACTCGTCGCTGGATGGCAGATCATCGATGGTTTCGCCATTGGCTTTTGCTTCCTTTCTTTCAGCCTTGGCAAGCTTGAGGTCTTCCTGCCTCTGCTTTTCGAATTGGGCAACCATGTCTTCAATGGCCATTTGGTTCTTTTCTCGCTCTTCCTCGGTCTCAATGTGAATACCTCGTCGCCTCAAATCCTCGATCTTTTCGGCGCGTTCATTGTTCGCCTGCTCACGAGCCTTTTGCGCAAGCAACAGCTTCATCTGGTTGAGGCTTATTGACTTGGGACCCTTGCGCGATGAGTCATTTGACGCGGTCTTTTGAGCCAAATGGCGAAGGTGGTGCAATGATGAAGATTCTTGCTGTTTCTTGACAGGTATGCGATCAAAGACAGGAAATCTAGCTTTTGGCTGCACGACCTGCAGTTCATCCTCGGAGTCGGAAAGCTCAACCATAGGGTGATCAACCTCAGCATTCAAAACCGTGGTTGGCTTGGTTTCCTTCATCCAGGGATGCAGCGGAAGGTGTTGGAATTCTGGCGCTCGTCCTTTGCCCTTGTCTAATGTCGTGGGTGGGGAAGATGGCTCCTTGGCTTGTATTGCGTCTGTGGTTGGTGTATTCTCCTTGGCCTGCGATTTTTCCTGTTCTGGTGGGCTGTCCTCAACTTGATTCACTTCAGCATCCGAAGACGCCAGGGCCGAGCTGGCGTCTGGAGTGGGTAAACCATCAGCGGGTGTTCCAGCGTTGGGAGCGTTGTACGCAAAGCGGCTAAAGAGGTGGTCCAAGCCATACTTCTTCTTTGTCTTGGCCTGATGTGTGAGCTGCATGTTGCGGCTGATTCTCTGCTGATCACGGGCCATGAGCTCCATTGCCTTCTTTCCAGCTTTGCGAGTGGGTTTTGCCTGTTGTGTAAGGCGTCGGCCGCTTTCGCCATCTGATTCGCTCCCCGAGCCTTGGTTGGCTTGCCGCCTCGAGCTTTTTGCAGACTTCTGTTGTTCCTGCTTATTTGCCAATCTCTCTGCTCGTATGCGCTGTACGCGTGCCTGCAAATCAGCATTATGCGAGTGTGTGGCTGATTCGTCCGAGTCGGATCCGACGAACAATGTGGTTCGTGACTTATGGGGCGTTGCGTTGGGGGTAACAAAGAGCCCAGGCGACGAGCGCCGTGACCGTACACTAGCAGCTGGCGAGGCTGGCCGACTTATGCTCTTTGCTTTTCTGACGGCGGGCCTGCGGGTGTTGACTGGCATTTCGTCTTCATCGTCGGTGCTGACCACTAGAGCAACAACACGCGCTTCATCCTGTGCGTTACCCGATTCCAGTGTCTCCTTTGTGGCTTTGCTAGCAGCCAGTCGCTTCTTCATGCGCTCATAGGCCGCGTCGTTGTCATCCTTGTCCTCGTCTTCCTCGGCTGGCGGAGATTGTGGTTGCGAGCCGTCCAACTTTTTGAGCGGCTTCCGTGTAGTTGCGTCGCGGTCGGATTCCGAGGCGTCATCTTCAGACTCTGCACTGCTGTCTGATGATCCTGCAGCTGGTTTCCGGAGAGCTGCCAATAGTCCGACGCGTGGTTTCGCGGACGCGTCGAGCGTGCGCGTGGGCTGCTCGACTGCCATTGTAATGTCCGAGTCTGCCATGGACGTTTTCGTCGTGTCTTGGCTTTGAAATGATGTGGATAGTGCAGCAAAAGGATACCACAGTGTCGGGGCGGTGGTTCAGTGGTTGCTCTTTGAATGTGGCCCTCGTTGGCCGACGCGTGGAGAAGAAGTCACGCGGAGCACTACCAATTGGCAGGTAGAAATCTCAAAAAGGCGTAGTAGCGGTGCCGAGAGTAGACAATGTCAGAAAGAAGTGAGCAGCTACGACGACGACGCAATACTGGATACTGAATGTCCGTGGCGGGGATTCACGTCTGAGCTTGAGTTTTGGAAAGGTGCGACCACGCGACGCGTCAAACCGCGCTTTGCTCAAATAGGGAAGACTAGTGGAACGCGTCAAAATTCGTAGCCGCTCTACTCACGATATAAGCTGATTTAGACGCATTCTTCCTATGACCTTCAGCGAGCCTGAATGTACACGCAGCTACGAGATACTCTCCTGAGGTTTGTCGAGATCTTTAAATATATACAAGGCACTTCACCTCTTCTCGTTGGAAACGGCGCGCAGGAATCTTGACCACACCTGGTGGGTGTCATAACCATTTATTTTCACACAGTCGCCTACACGTTTCAATTTCATAATGAGCGCACTCACCTAAGTTGATGACTTGAACAGTTCGTTAGCTATGCACTAACAGCACAATCCTTGCGGCCCCATTTTGCCCTACTCTACTTTCACTCTGTCCTGCAGGTTCCCAACTACGATGGAAAGTGAATGGTGCATTCTATGACCTGAAGCTATACACCGAATTAAGCTTCAATTGCAACGGCAAGGCAGGTCCTGTGTATGGGTTCGGCGATTTCGATCAATGGGCTGCTACCTGTTGCACTCAGGTAGATTTTTAACGAACTATACAACGTGTAGTACGCAGCTGGAGAATCGCGTGGCAATGTGCCGATGAAGATCCAGGCAATGACAATGATCAGGAACAGAGGTTGGTCGTCTTCGAGTTGTCCTATCGCGCTGCTTCCTTCACGCCTCACTTCCCTTGGGCTCTCCGCACAATCGAGCTTTGACACTGCTCCTTGATAATTGATAATGGCAAACCATCAAGGCTTTATTGACGGAGTTTTAGTTTGGAGGCATAAATCTTGAAACTTTTGGATGCGCAAGCTGCTTCTTACGACGACATTGTCCATTACTACTACACGCCCTCGATGCCCAAGGTAGCGAGCCCAATTCAACTTTAGCAGGATTTCCACGCTTCAGGTCGGCATTCTTCGGTCGTTCGGTTACAGCGCAGAGCCAGCGTTACATGGCCAACCTTCTTCCAACTTTCTTCCCCGGACATCAGAGCCGAGATTCCCACACGGTCCCACTCCGGTGAAAGTCGCGTTCACACATCTCAACAGTCTCATTTCCCGCCCGTTGTTGTTTACCCGAGTTAATCCAAAATTGACTCTGCCGATCTTAACCCCACTGGCGATATTCTCCGATGTGACGGGAACACCCTGGATAACTGGCACATCGCTGCGTCAGCCACTCCGATAACTCCAACTACCTCCAACTCTGAAGCATTCTCAGAATTTTATTCTTCCAGTCTTGTCTCTAAGCGACAATGCCACGAACGACTCTCTGGATTCAATGCAAAGGAAATATGCTGATTGATCAGACGATATGCTCTCAATTGCATCTCATGCTCATCGTGGAATTAGGACTGGCTGACCGAACATGTATACGAATTCAAGTCTCCACTCCATGCAAGGTCCTGCCCTTCGCTTTGACAGCTCGTAGGTAATATACTTGATCATCTAGATCAAATGTTTACGCCAGCCCATTCTTGGATTATGTACACAGAACACGTCACAAAGCCTCGTCGTCATGGTAGGCCTTTTGTGCAGCCCAATTTTCCTTTCGGCGGCCTTTCTAGACAGTCACATCTGGATCTCGTGACATCTTGCAATCTCCGGAGCATGTTTGCTCTCAATTATGCGTCAGCTCACGTGCCCTGAAACAAGATCTACTGTGGTAGTAGGCATAAGTAGTAGAGTGAGTCAGGAGGCAGAGATCAGAAATTGCACTAGCTAAACTAAGTTTAGATAAATAATATATTTTAATACTTTGTATAGTAGCCTTTAGCCTCTATTATAGCCTAGCACTTCTCTCTTATACTAATTACTAAGAACTGCAGGTATTCTAGTATAATAGAATTCTAAGCCTCTTATATAATTATATATAGCTAATTATAGCTCTGCTATCTATCTGCAGGTAGATCTAGGTAGTTCTGCTTAATCTAGTTCTTTATCTTATTCTAAACTACCTTAATAAAGTTAAGATTTAGTAAAAAAGCTAGCTAAGAGATAGCTTTAACCTCTCTATCTTATAGCTCTTTATATATAGATATAGCTATATAAGCTAGAGCTCTATCTTATATAAAAATAAAGCCTAAATTTATTCTTATCTATTCTTTAATAATAAGCATAATCTTCTTATAATAATATAACTAGTTAATTAAACTCTACTTCTTCTCTTAAAAGATATATAGACTTTTCTTACTACTATTAAAGTAAGCCTAGAATATCTAGCCTCTCTTTCTTAGTACTTTATCTACTAAGTAAGTATTATCTAGACTCTTACTAGATAAATAAGTAACCTAGACTTACCTATAGCGCTCTCTAGTAACTTAAGTTTTATTACTCTAGAGTATATAGTTCTATTGCTTAAGAGTCTAGCTAATATAAGCCTATGCTTACGCTAGCTAAGCTCTTTAATTTACTTTAGAAAGAGATAGCTTTACTAAAGCTATTTATTAGCTATAGCTAGCAGAACGTAGAGCGTAGTAAATTATATACTTAGATACTCTTTAGTAAGAGTAAAAGTAGTTTAAGAGAGTAAGATAGCTTATCTAGTAAGTACTTCTACTCTAATAGATAAAAAGAATAAGCTCTTCTTTCTACTTTTAGCTTAGTAGTAAGAGTCTACCTAACCTTCTTCTTAGAGTAATCTACGTAGAGAGAGAGTACTTAACTTAGTATCTTAATATCTTAAGTTAATTAGAGATAAAGCTCTATATATAGCTAGCGTTATAGAGAGTATATATTTAAAGCCTCTAATTATAGATAAGATAAGTATAGTATAGAGAGATAGCTAGTATCTCTATAGCTACTTAGTAAGGAGAGAAGTTGCTAGAGTTTAAAGGTTAAGAATAGAGTATTATGCTAGGTAATAGGCTAGCAAATAAAAAGTCTAATTATTATTAGTAAGATATTAGTTATATTACTTAAGTAGAAGCAAGAAAACTAAGTAAATAGATATTATTTTAAACTATTTACTGCTATAAAGAAGCTTTTTTCTAGGCTACTAAGTATTATTTTCTATCTATAAACTCTATATTTTCTAGTTATAAAGAGTTATATCTAAGCTAAAAAGACTTAAGTAAGATTAATAATTAGGTTCTTAAGAAACTAAATATAGGCTTTCTAATGTATAATCTTAGTCTAAATTACCTTAGTAATATTCTTCTTAGTCTTCTTAATAGTATAAATAGAGTTAATAAAGAGCTCTAGAGCACTACGCTTATAGAATTTAGAGAGTATACTAGAACTATTAAAGAGCGCTAAAAGAGTTAAAAAGAATTAAAAAAGACTAGAAAAAAAGTAGAATACTAACTATTAATAAGGCTATAGCGCTTAGATTCTATAAGATAATAGTTAGAATAAGCCTCTTTAGCCTTATTGCTAATAGAGATATAAGCTAAGAATTTACTATTCTTTTTCTTATAATAAGCGCACTTAAGCTTATTTATCTTACTAACTAGATAGATAAAGATACTTTCTATCTTAGTAATATTAGCTAAAATATTAGTTATAGTCTAAAAAAGATAAGAAAAAGAGCTCTTATAGATAATCTTAGAGATAGAAAGAGTATTCTTATAGTACTTAAAGACTCTCTTAATAAGCAGTTTAAGGAAGTTTTAGATTCTTTTTAACTAGTTTTTAACTGCCTAAATAATACTCTTAAGATTTTCTCTAGGCTTTAGTAGAGTAGTTTTAGCTACTTTAGCTTTAATTCTAGCGTAGTTTTTAGCTTTCTTAGAAGTTATTTTAAGCAGCTTAGAGATGTTTTTAGAGGTAAGAGTAGCTATTTTTAGATAGTTTTAAAGATAAAAAGAATAGTATAGAGGCTAGTTTAGAGCAAAAATAAGTAGAAAATAGGTAGATTCTACTAAGAAAAGAGTTAGTAAAGCTAAAAAAAGATAAATAAATATTAGCTAAAAAAAGAGAGTAGAAGATAAATAAAAAGTAAAAAAGATAAAAGAAATTAAATTTTAAGTAAGTAGAAGTAGTAAGAAATAGTAGCAGGCGTAAAATAAGTAAATAATATACTAAGTAAATAGTAAGTAAGTAGAAGATAGAGAAAAAGAGATAGAGAAGAGCTTTAAGAGAGTTTATATAGTTATACTAGTTGCTAGCATAGCTTATATAAACGCAGTAGTAACGCAGAAGATACTAGAGATACTTAAATATAGAGATAAAGATAAGTTTTTTTATCTAGAGTAGTAACGTAGTAGTATATATTAATAATGTAGAAGTAATATATATATATATATATATAGCTAAATAGTAGAAAAGAAACTTTAAAATATAAGATAAAGAAAAATAAGAGAGAAAAATCTAAGAAATAGAAGTATAGAGTAAGATCTTATTATAAATAATATTTTAAACTATTCTACTAGACGTACTAGAATATTCTAGAAGTAAAAGTAGAATAGAAAGGCCTTAAAGAGTTATTACGCATAATAAAGCAACGTATAAATAGCTATAAGTAAATACTTATAGCTAAAAATTAATACTAATAGTAAAGAGAGACTACTCTTAAGACTTATTAATAGTTAAAGCAAAGAATAAATAGACTAAAAATTAAAGATAAGAGATAATAAAAGAGAGCTCTTTCTTAGTAAAGGTAAGCTTAATATAAGAAAGAAGCTATAACTATTCTATAAACTCTCTACTAAGAATCTTAGCTTATATAACTTAATAGCTAATATAAGTAATAGATAGATAAGTACTATTATAGAGCCTATTTTTAGAATAAAGGTTCTATAAAAGTATAATAATAGACCTAACTTTAAGAGAAAGCTTTACTAGTAGTAAGCTTAGAACTGCAAAGAACTATAAAAGCTTAGAAAGAAGATAGTTAATACTGCTATTCTTACTAAAATTAGCAGAATTAGAGCTTAAAAGCTTAGTTATCTTATCTAGTATAAGCTTAAAGATATGCTTATTAAGTATATTAACTATATTATTATAGATAGTAAGTATAGTATGTCTAGTAAGAGCCTAATTATCTATTATAGTAGCTTTAAGAAGGTTTTAGAGATAAATATAACTAAGAAAGTTCTTTTTAGAGTAGAAAACCTTAATTTAAGGCAGTAACTCTATATTACTATCTATTTCTAGCCTAGTAAGAGACTAAGTCTACTTTATAAAGCGCTAATTTGCCTTATCTTAATAAATATATATATTTTAATAAAGATAAAGAATTATAAGTAGCTATAAGATACTTAATTACTAACGTAGTTTATAAGTAAGCTAGCTACCTAACTAAGCTAGCTACTAATCTCTACTAAAACGCCTGCGCAGCAATAATGCGTAATATCTTAATAATACTAAGCTTAAAAGACTTATACTAAAGCAGATATATAGCTTACTATCTCT